AATTTACCAGTGAACTGGAGATTTTTGTGGTTTTACCAGATGAATAGGAATTCACGTAAAAGGGGGAGGAGAAGAAGACGGCATTCTTCTTTCACTTCTTCTATGTGCACAAAGCTGCAAAACCCCCTCCGTCTCCAAAAATGAACATTAAAGCTCAAGTTATTTGCATGCCAGAATTTTCTTTTTTCTCCCCACCTTCTGCAGATGTAAAATAGTGTGTGTGTGTGTGTGTGTGTGTGTGTGTTACTGATTTAGGGGAGAGGAGTATAATACAGCCTCTGCAAATTTTCAATATTGTGTAACTTCCCCTTAAGACATTCTGATTGCAATTCTTGCAGCACTGTTTAAATTGATGACCATCAAAAGACTTCAGAAGTGACAGTTATGGGGGAAAAAAAGACTAGGAGTTCCTTTTTCAAATATGTTTGCTGCACATTTGCATCGTCAGTTGTAGTTAAAGTGGGGTGTTTTTGTTTTTTGTTTGTTTTAACTGGAATTGATTATTTTTCTGTGATACTTCTGGAAATCCCAAAATGTAACCTGGTCTTAAATTTTTAATTTAGGCTAATGTGCTAGATCCGTTTTAAAAGTGATAAATGAATTTAATATCCTTAGTGAGCCTTTCCTTTCCTGAATTCAGTAAATTGATAAAACGATTTGTCTTCTGATTGTATGTTTAAGGTACATGGTGGTGTTTAAAGTTGGACTTTGAACCAGAAATGGATACTGAGAAGAGTGGTGAGGTTTTAGGTGCGTCAGAGACTCCACAGCAAGCGGAGACTGCAGTGGAAAAAGCAGCTGTGGAGACGCCAGTGGAATCCACAGAGCTTGAGAAGTCACCAGCTGCTGAGGAAGCAACTGGGAAGATGGCAGTACATGGTCAGGAAAGCGAGGTTGTGAAAGAAATGGAGGCGCTGAGTGTGACAGACAAGGTGGCGATGCCCACAGAAAAAGCTGATGCAGACTCAGTGCCTGGCGCAGCAGCGTCACAGCAACCAGAAGAGTCATCTGAAAAGAAAATCTCTGAACAGCAGCCAGAGAACAACCCAGAATCTTTGGCTTTGCAAACGCCCCTGGCAGAGAGCGCCCCTGAACCAGCGCCAGAGAAAGCGGCCGAATCTGTTCCAGAAATAAAAGTGCAAACATTACCTGACTCGGCCATGACACAGCAGCCAGTAGATACACAGCCACCGGGCCCAAAAGAGAAGGAACAAGCTGAGTCTGTGGGAGAACTGCAAAAAGCAATGGATACTGAGGCTGAAGGTGACTCCGGAGCTAAGCCTAAGGAGAAGGAAGAAGCCAAACCAGAAGAGACTGTTTTGGTGTCTTCAGAAAAGCCAGCAGAAGCTGAAATGCTAAAGACTGAGGCTTCAGCAGAAGTTGGAAATGTGAGCCCTGAGTCGGAGCCTCAAAAAGAAGAGGATATCGTCCCAGCCTCTGGCTCTCTGTCTTTTGCCTTTTTAGAACAGGAGCAGACCAAAGATGCCCTCCGAATCTCTCGTACCCTTGTTGTCCTTAGAGGCCTTCCAGGGAGCGGTAAAACCTTTTTGGCACGTGCCATAGCCGACACCTACAAAGACCACTGCACCGTCATTAGTGCTGATGACCATGGTGTTAAACCTGAAAAACCAGAATCTAGTGCAGAGGGCTACAAGGCACTGGATGAAGCTGTAGTTGCTTGTTGCACAGACGAAAACGCTTCCTCTGTGCTGATAGTGGTAGACGACACCAACCACACCCAGGATCGCCTGGCCCGTCTAGAAGAGATTGCAGAAGAGAACAATCTTGTTGCTATCTTCTTGGAGCCAAAAACTGAATGGAACAGAGATCTTGGACAGCTGACCAAGAAGACCAAGCGTGGCCTAGAGGAAGCCCATCTGGCAGCCATGAAAGGACCACTTGAAGAAGTGTCCCTTCCTCTTTACTTTGGCTGGTTCCTTCTGTCCTCTATCCAGGACAAGATTAAATGCACGTCAATGGACTTCCTGAAAACACTGGACACCTTGGAGGCTTTCAAGAAACATTTGATTGACTGTGAGTGTCTAATTTTTATTACCAAGTAACTGAACTCTCTTAATTAGGGGTGAAAACTTATTTCTTCCTTTTTTGTAATAAACAGTTTCAGGAAAAGCTGAGGAGGTGGACCTTGAGCAGTACTTTCAACCAACAGGAATTCTCCATTGCACTACGAAATTCTGTAACTATGGAAAAGCTGAGGGTGCCAAAGAATATGCAGAGAAACAGGCAAGAAACAATTCAATTTTCCCAGAAATGAAAGCATTATTCATTTACTTGTAATTGCTGAACTAACATTGAATACTAACCATAATTTCATTTAATTTGATCTCTTTTTGTATTTCCTCTTCTCTAGGCTGTAAAAGATTCCTATGGTTCCCTCTTCGATCTGTCACTTAGTGCCCTCTTTGTAACCCCTCGCACATTTGGTGCCAGAGTGTCTCTCACTGAGGAACAGCTTCAGTTGTGGCCAGCTGATGCTGAAAAGCAGGTGGAGTCGGTCCCCGCAGCTGCCTCACTGCCTCTGGGAAGCCGCGCCCATGTCACTCTGGGCTGCGCAGAGGGTGTCGAGCCCGTTCAGACGGGCATCGATCTGCTGGAAATCTTGACCCTGCAGCAGGAAGGCCAGCAGGGGGAGCAAGTTGAAGAGATGGAGCTCGGCACGCTGACCTATTACGGTACGGGAAAGTGGCTGCTCAACCTCAGAGAGCCAATTAGTGCACCAGCCTGCTTCTCCAGCTTCTACGGGTGCAAGGAACCTGAGCCCACCAAAAAAGACCACGAGAAGAAAAAGAAGCCAAAGTGTATGATCTTGTAAATGGCAAACATGGGATGTGTGAGCTAGGATGACTGGAATTACTCTTGGGCTTCTTCTGTGCAAAGTTTGTGTGTTAGTTTGGGGTTTCACTTATAGCCATCCTAAATCCACAAGTTGTGTGCCTTTTTTACCATTGATTTGCACCACAACCCAAGATGCCTTCAATCCCATTAGGCTTGTTAACACGGTTCAGTATTTTCTTTTACAGATCAGTGCCAGAGGTTGCAGTACCTAGCTGTTTGAGGTCTTGTTAGCTGCAGTTTTACATAGTCTGCCCTCCTTCAGCGCCACTTATCACTTCTTTCTAGATTTCCTGTCTACATCAGTGTTTCTCACTATACTCAGCTGTGATAAACTAGGTACTTTCATTGCATGCTATGACGTATTTACACATTACTGACCTGCTAAGAGTAGCTCTGCCACTTTAACAGAATTTGTCTTTCCTTTGACGTAGTAGTGTCATTTCTGTGTGTTTGCGCAGCCTAGGAAGTAATAGTGACAATAACATATGGGCCAAAGTTGCGTATTTGAATAAGTGTATTAGATTGAATGTCATTTTTAGAGAACCTTCCTAGTAAGAATCTTTGCACTGTGCATAGTTTGAGAGGGAGAATGCTGATGGCATTTTGTTTCTGCAGCTTGCACTTAGTACTTATCAAATGCTGTGAATCAAAGTCCATGTGTTGCAATTTTCTTTTTTTGTACTGCGCAATACTCATTCATTCTCTACAAAAAGCACTTCATGCATTGAATTACAATTTGTATCCTGTGATGGAACCTTCTGAAGGGCAAGTCCTACTTTGTGTCGCTCTTATGAATCACTATTTTTGCACTTGTTTTGTACACTTAATAAAAAGAACATGCTTTGCTCCAGTAATCCGTCTGGTTACTCTGGTTCCATGCATGCAAACTGAAAAAGTCATTATCTCCAGATGGTCGTTTTCTCACAGTGCTTGTAGTTGAGCACTCCAGCAGAGGGTGCTGTTGGTTGCCCCATGCTGCCATTACACTTTGTTTTTGTTTGTGGTAAAGTGTTGCCTGCAAACCATTAATAGCTTGTCATTTAACGTTCAAGAACTAGCTTTAATACTTTGCAAATACTGCAAGAAGATATGAAACATTGCAGTCACAGATTGGCTTGCAATACTTGTCTGAACATCGGTGTACCTTGCACAAGAATCTGGCACAGTATACATGTTTCAAACTTCATCATAGACATGATGGCTGCCAAAAGTATTTCACGTGATGAAGCAAGTGCTCAGATGTAATCTGCATTTATAAGCTGACATGGTTAACATGTTCTAATATAGTGTGATATTTCATCTATCCTTCTATTACCCCATTAGTTGTGCATACCGTTACAATATAAATACTACTTCTGGTTCCACCTCTACCCCCCC